GGAGGTGGAACAAGCAATCACAAAAGGTTAGATAGTATAGTATAAGTAGTTACGAAGTAGAGGGGAAATTTTTTTAGTATTGTACAGGGGGGTTTTAACACATGTACAGGGGGGTTTTCACTTTGTACATGGGGGTCAGAAGTTCTAAGATGGAGGAAAGTGGGCTGATCCCATCCTTCTTCCTTCTTCTTCCTTACCTCCATGTTCTTGGTGATGTTGGCACATCCTTCTACTCACAGATTGAGTAGAAAAACACTTGGCAACGTAGGTAGTAGGTATTGGGGAATAATTGTAAACATGTTATACGTAATATATCTTATAAAAGATAGCAGCAACCCTGGGCGGAGGGAGAGACGAAGAAGACAGCAGATAGAGAGGATGTCAGTGTGTGTGTGCCTCTACCCAGGCCGCTGATCAAATAGCTGCAGTCCAAGAACATAATCTGTTAGATAACTAGCAATAAACTGCCTTGAGACCGAACAGCTAAGCCTGCGGAGTTTTTCTTTGGAAGCACGGGTTGGAGGAGGAATTTCACCACCACATGTGGCCCCAAAACAAGGCTGGGGTTCTCACATGATGGGATCCTACACACAGTCCTCCTTTTGGTTCCCCCCTGCTATGGCACACACAAGTGAGCCACTTGTGACTCCTCTGCAGAATTACAACTTACATATCATGACTGTTTTAAAATAAACCATCCATTCTTGTTTCCATGCTATCACTTATCCCAAAAGTTATCTATCCCATAATGCACCAAGTTTCAAGTACTATGACCACAATTCAAGCTCTCCCCACCACCCATCCTAGCTGGAGCACACACCAGTGGGGCACTTCTCCACCCTCAGAAGTGCCAGACAGCAGCAGGGTAATCCAAAACTGCCACCACCAGTGCCAGCCTGCAGGGTGGGAAGGAGGTGGCCATGCCAGCAGCCAGCTCTCACAAAGTTCCTGTGTCTCACTGCTCACTGCTGCAGGAGCTGGCTCCACAGCCCTGGTGGGACTCTGCTGTGTCCCTGTGGGACACACTGATGTGCCCCCATTCAGCTCACCATGAACTGCCTCACTGCTGGTGTCATGGCATGGTGGGGATCTAACTTCAGCAGCTGCCATATCCCTGCTTTTCTTCACCTAAATCCAGTGGGGACAGAGGTGTCACAGAAACATGCAGGCTTGACACAGCAGAACAAGGTAAGAAGAAATGTCAGCAATGTGACCAGGAAACAAGGCTAAGTTCTTTGCCCACATTAATCACAAAGACTTCAGCATGCAGGAGCTTCTTCCCTTTCTTCCCTTTCTTCAAAGGTAGGTCATGATTTGTCTCTTGAGCACCATGGTGTAGGTACTTTCACTTTCCTTCTTCCACATTCGCTGCCTAGTCTCCCTTTGGCATATCAGCACCATCACAGGCAGGAATCAACCCAAGGTGACCATATCAGTGGATCAAGGTCATTTTAAATCAGCAGGTGTCACTGCATTATGCTGTGCAAGGCAGGTACATCCCCATTCCAGGCTAGAGACAGGGTGAATGCTAAAGCTTGGCACTGCTTCTGGGGAAAGAATAGCTCCTAACAAAAAAACTATGCCCCCAAAACAATCAGGGGATTGATACTGGTTCACTGCATTACAAAGTGTTCTAAAGCTACAACTAAAACTGAACAAACATTTTTTAAAAATTGTACCGAAGAGTAAGTTATTCAGTGTGAATTCAAAAGACATTCCACCATTCATTACAGGACCACACAGCTGGTCTCAAGGCTGTACTCCAAGATATAGGCAGGGTAAATTTGTTGCTTCTCAAAGATGACAAAGATGGAAGGGTCTGTCAAGTCATCCACGCAGCTGTCATAAAGTCTGTTTGAATTTTCGTCCCTGGGTGGAGGGCGGCAGTACTCAGGGTTCCCCCGCACGAAGTCCCCAACGAGAACCTGAGCTACGAACATGTTGTAGCGCCCGCCGAGAGGGGAACAATACTCATGGGAATAGCTCGCATCTCTGGCAAAGTAGCTTCCTAGGGAGCAGAAAATGCCACAGGTCAGTCAATACACCAGCCAAGGAACAAACATGTGCTAACAGCACCTTGGCAGCCAGCAATCCAACAACCCCAGCTAGCCTGACAGCGTGTGGGAACATTCTTGCCAGGTGTTCCCACAGTGGCTTATTGTGAAGTACTGACAAACTCCAGTCCACATTTCACCATCAGCCTGCCAGTCCCACCTGTCCAAGAGCAGGTACCTGAGGCAAAGAGAGGTGTTTTTAGCCCTTCATGGAATGGGATTGCTGCTGTGTCTGCTACCTAATGCAATGTAGATATACACAGGTGAGACTGTACAGGAGTACATGGGTCAGGAACCACCAGTCACTTCATAATACACATCCCCCAGCCTGGCTGGGGTCTGCAGTCCCTGCTGCTACAACTCCTACACCCTTCTGCACTTGTACCTTTTCCATACATTGTCCCATGAGTTCCACAGAGTCTCCAGTCAAAGTTCTGCTCACAAATGGCAGACACATGGGATGGACTCGTGCCATGGAACAGGAGCCTCTCATTCACCCCTTTCAGTTGATGGAGCTTCTTCATCTTTTCTTTTTGCCTAGAGACAACAACAATAAAAAAAGAGAACTACTTGTTTTCCTGGTTCAAACAAGGAAAATTTCCCAACTCCACTCCTCCTACTTCTGGGTCGTGGAGGAACAGTGACACAAGCCACTCTCAGTGGGTTTACTGCCCACTTTGCACTTCTGCTGGTACCCTGCTGCACAGCTGGCTCCTGCCAGCAAAACAAAAAGTTCTCAGCAGCACTATGGACTGTGTCACCCACAACTTCACGCCACATGCGAGAGTAAAGAGACAAACATCTCTTGACTAGGAATTGGTCAGTTCCCATGTTACATAAATCCTGAATACATAAATATCATTATAAAACTGAGCTGTATGAAGCCACAGTGAAGATTTTTTTTTCCTGTCTCCTATGTGGAAGAGGCTAAAACCAAAAGAATAAACCTGAAACACCAAAGCTCAGTTATGATGAAGGAAAGGAATTTACTTTTTGAATAACACTAGTAAGAATCACACATATATCTTGCTAGGGATGAAAGGCTCATTTCTACACACACAAAAGAACACAGATGCAACACCAACAACTCAGTCACAGAGAGAGCAGCCCCAGTCCCCTTCCAGGACTGTCCCAGAGAAGCCTCAGAGAGACAGGTTTTGGGGCAGTTATTAAGTCTGTGCCACCAGCCAGACCTGGGCAGAGAGATATGTGGCAGCCTCACCTCTGCTAGACTGCTGAATTTGGCAGCTCCAAATGTAGACTATGGAGGGCAACAGGTCAGGAATACCAGTCTTCTCATACAGTAAGGATAATGAAATAAAATAGATACAAACCACCGAAAAATGTCCCAAAGTGTTGGATTCTGAATCCTCTGCAGTTGGTTGATGCAGTAATTTTTCATTGTCTTCTGAAACAGACTCTTGATTTTTCTATATTCTTGGGAATCACTGCTGAGCTGTATCAACTGAAAATTTTTAAAGCACTAAAAATAAGGTATTACTGAGAGCAATAACTCCAGTCCCTCCAAAGGACTCATCAATCTTCTCACATCTACTGAAAATCCCTACCACAAAAATCACAAGCTTCTTCAGTTTTTCCCATTAACCCTCCTTTACCATTGTTCCCCAAGTGGAAGCACAGGCACTGGCTGAGAGAAACCAGTGCACCCCTATATGAGCTTCCTTTTGAGGATGAACCTCCACATCTGGACTATTTTTAGCTCAGAGTAACCTAAAATTGAAATGCACAGCAGCATTCAGGCTGAAGCAGAGTGAAAGTTTCACCTTAATCTGACACTCTAGCTCCTTCCCTACAGGGCTATGTTGCAGTTTTACCACAGCAGATAACATCCTGCCCCAAACTAACAGAGGAAATACCATTGTAAGATCCAATTAATCTGGTTTATCAGGGGATGAAGTGCCTTGGGAGAGTGCAAAGGACAGGTATGACCAGCAAAGGCCTTTCCTACTCTATCATAGGGGAGATAACACCACATCACTCTCAGAGAGCCTCCCAGGAAATGCATGTCTGTTCTGAATATGAAACTGTCAGTCTTCTCTCACATCATAGCTGCTTATTTTACAAGACACATGTAAAAACTGGTAACATCTCAATTGCCTTGAATTATGCTCTTGGAAAAATCAGTACAGGAGAGAGCTCTCCCCACCCACTGGAGACCTGGAAAGTCCTACCTTGTACCCGATATCAGGTAGTGCAGTTTGGTCCCACTGTGGAGGATAGACAGGATGCGACAGAGTCATGTTTTGGCTACAGAATAGAAAAAAGAGCCAGTCAGCTGGTGATACTCCTAACCAACTCCCCCTTCTGGGGAATCTAACCACAGGCTCCAAAGCATTCCTCAGGCATCCATTCACGAGCTGTAGTTTTTCTTTTTGAATTAACACACCTTAGGTTGAACCAACACTTTAATGGAACCCTCAGCTTCCCATGCACTGTCTGCTGGTGAGTTTCTAAAGCAGAGACAGCTCTTACTAAAAATCAGTAGCACAAATAACATTTATAGCAGATGTGCTCAAATTCCGTTAAGCTGAACTTCTGTTAGAAAAAGCCATGAGATAGGGTATCTCAAGTAAGTGCCTGTAATTCACTTAATTTCAGTGGATTTGCCTGTTCTGATTTTCAGTTTATCCTCAGCTTTCCAAGGGATGACATCCACATGCACCACAGCTCTTGGGATTGGCAGCCTCTTGCTCCTAATTGCTGCACAGTTATTTATAAGTGCTGGGGCATAAATCAAGGAATAAAAATTCCCGGAACAGTTGTGTCAGCCTTGTGTGGCAGATCTGCTCTAGTGGTTTTTCACAGATGCCAGAGACTGCCAGAAAACATCCCTCCAGAGAGTTTTACAGAAGCGTTGCATAATTTACAAATACTGTCAGTGCAAAATGTACTGTTAAACCAGTCAGGAAAAGGTATCTAAAAATTAATTTAATAAATATAAAATTGCATTCTAGGCAGGTAGGAGGAACTTTATAGCAGAAAGGTGCTGTCCTCTAGAGACATTACTAAACAATGAATGTGTATTACCTTCCATCTTGTCCATCTTCAGACTGCTTAGGCAGTCGAATAACACTTCTTTGAGTTTTAAAGAGCACATTTGTTTGGACCATGTCTTGAAAGAAAAACACAATAACTCAATAAGGAGATAATTCATTGTCTAGGGACAGGCTCTTTCATGTTAAGTAAAAATAAAAGAGGAGATAGCTCTGAATATTGCATTGTGGTGCTCTCTCTATCCCACCCAACCAGTGCAAACTTCATTCCCACTTGCACTGCTCCTACTTGGAGATCAGCAAGGTCAACCACCTGCTAGCACAGGCTGTGAAACTTGAAGGCAACCAAGCACCAACTGCACCTGCACTGGAATTCACATCCAGGCTGCTGGCCAGAGAAAACCACATCAGATGGCAGGCCTACAGCAAGAAAGAGTTTTCAGTGTAATGGGGGCCACAAACCTGGCTTTCCTGGCAGCACAGGGCTGCTCCATGGTGCTAAAAGCAAAGCCTGCCCTCCCTTCTTGGTCCTGTAATAATATCATAGAGCACATGCTGGGTGACATGGCTAATTATCCATTGTTTCCTCCTTTAAACACCACTCTTTACTCATGCCAGGAAACATTTAAAGTTTGGAAAGCTAACAGGAGTTTTAAGATGGGTAAATAAATTAGAAACAGAAAAGCATTTTTAATTTTCCCATTTCTCTCTCTATATAACCAGCCCTGAATTTTTGTTTGCTGCACTGTGCTTTCTCTCCCCGTAAGCAGCTTGCAAGATGTTCACAATAGGCTCACTTCTTCACCTTTTAACTTTTCAGTGCCTTTTTTTTTTTTTTTTTTTTTTCTCTTTTTTTTTTTTTTTTTTTTTTTTTTTTTTTTTTTTTTTTTTTTCCCTCCCTGATTTCTAATTTTTCCTTTTCAGGTGTATAAACACAAATGTATAAGCCAAGGTGCCATGAAGCAATTACTCTCAACTCTTCTTCTGAATGTACAATATTGTCAGGTATGATTTTTGACTATAGATGCCCAAGTATAGAAGCTCAAGTGGGGCATCTGAAAACTTTAGAGAAATTTACCTACTGCTCAATTTCTGCTTGGAGAAAATTTACAGGAGGAAAAAGAGCTGTTCAAAGTGATGCAGTTATGGTGTGAAAACCTTCAAGCCAGCTGCACTGTGTAATGAACTTCAATCAGGGAGATACTTCACCTGCAAAGTCTAACTTATACTGCTGAGAACCAGCCCTGAAAATAATAACACCATTCTTGTCAGCTTGATATTCATTCTCCAGAAATGCAGATGTTACAGTGGCAGTGACATGACCTGGGTGCTGCAGAAAGAACAAGGAAATTATACCTGTTAGAAACCACCTTTGGTTTAGGTGTCACTGTGGGGAAATATCAATGTTTCCCCAGGCCTCTGTGACAGGAGGATGTTTGAAGTAAGTCTCTACAGCTTCAAGCACTTTGTTCTACAGAGATGGAGGGGGTACCCCACCGAGAACAGCTGCTTCTAACAGCAGTAACAAAGCAGCCTTCAGCCTGTGTGGTCAGCTCCAGACAAATAATGTTTGTCAGCTATGGAAAATGCACCCACTTCCCAAGCCAGACCCTTGAAAGCTTTCACAGAGTTCCAGTCCTGCTTTGAGGGACAATTAAGAAGACAATTCCACCCAGGCATTGGAGCAGCACTGCTAGGGCACCCAGCGGCACATGTAGAACACACCAGCTGCAGAACAACACACTCTAAAGAACTCTCCAAAGATGGCTTAACAAAAGCTTTTGGCACGAACAGCAGATGAATTTCACCTCTTTCCCATACTCAATCCACTGCTTGGAATCGTTGAGCCAACACCAGACATACTCCATTTTCAGGAGCAAACAGGTGAGTCGGGAGACAACACAAGTGCAGAAGAGCTGATGGGCACCTGGCTGCTTACTCTGCCCTGCACTGGAAAAGAAATCCAGATCAAAGCACGGGTCTTTTCCAAAGCTGTCAAATTGTACAGCATCCCTGGCCTGATCAGAAATCTATTCACTTCTCAAAAAAAGAGATCCCCCTCCAGCTGGAAAGTGCAGGTGTGCCCCAGAACTGAGGAGTTGGTGTTTATGGTGCATGGTAAGCACCATATGAAGAAAGGACCCTGACCTCTCTGGCTTGGACCTGTGCCACTGATTTTCCCTAAAATGTATCTATCTTCCTAAAAAACACATTTTAAGAAAATACACTTGACACCAAGATTCCCCTGCAGCCCATAGAGGTGGCCATGGTGAGACAGCTGTGTCCCCGCAGCTGTGGAGGTCCATGGAGCAGAGATCCACACTGCAGCCCATGGAGAAGGCCATGCTGCAGCATGTGGACAGGCCCTGAGGGAAGCTGAAGTCCACGGAGAAAAACCCGTGCTAGAGCACGTTTATCCTGAAGGACTGCAGCCCACAGGAAATGAACATGCTGAAGCAGGGGACATTTTTGAGAATGATGGAGGAGTAGATGGCAAATCTTACAGACTGAGGACAACATCCATTTCCCTTCCCCTCTGCGTTACTTTGGTAAGAGAGGGTAGAAAAGTCAGGAATGAAGGAGTGAAGCTGAACCTGGGAGTCCATGGAGAGGGGGAATAATTTTATTTTCTCACAATTTAAATCTATTTTAATTGGCAATAAATTAACTTCCCCCAAGTCGAGTCTGTCTTGCCCAATGTTCACCTTGGCTTTATCTTAGCTCATGAACTTTCCCATTTTATTTTGTCCCTGCTGTCCTGTTGAGGATAGGGAGTGAGAAAGTAGCTTTCACTTGGAGGAGGGGATATCATTACTTACCAGCAAAGTGTCTATTCTGCACTCTATCCTAGACACAGCACCTACAAAGAGAAGAAAATGAAACAGGTAGCCACCAATAATTCCAGCTCATGGGATTTTACTTTGCTTCCTGCTGTGCTTCACCCTCCATTTAATCTCCCAGTTTTGGACCCAGACAACACTTTTTTAATGTATCTCACCAATTTACTGCCCCTGCAAGATTGCCTATCATGGATCACATATCCATAGCCAAAAGCTGCCAGCAGTTGAGCTTCCAAGGGTCTGTGACAGAGCTATTCTGAGCTGCCTGAAGAATCTGAACACGGTATTGAAACAGAAACTGGAAATGATCATGTATCCAGCTCTGACGCCCTTTGTACTTTGGCAGGGATCGACGGTATTTAGAGCAGGCCAATGAGAGGAAATCCTTACAGCAGCAGCTCCCTCACAGAGCTGTTTACAGTGCAAAGGTCCACAAAACAAAGACGTGGCAGCCCCAGAGTGCCAGAGCAAAGAGCGAGGAAGAACCTGGGTCTCCTTCACAGACAGACCTCGTTCCAGCACTGCCTGTATACGCAGCAACACTGGCCAGGCTTGTTCCTAGAAAAATGCTCCAAACTATTCTTCTCTCCCATTGCAGGGCATTCAAGAGATCCAGCACTACCAGGAGATTTGTTGGACATGGCTGTCCCTTTTTTTCCCCTCTGCACAGCACCACGACGCTGCTGCTATTGACACGGTTGAAGAATTTGAAGTTTGCAGATTGGAAGGGTGGAATTTGAGGAGGGAGGTGGGGAGAGGGGAAATGGAAAGGAAAGCAGGGAAGTGGGGAAGGATGACATTTCCAGGCAGTTTTTTCCACTGCTGCCCAACTCACTCTCCCCTCTACCCCCACTCCTGATAACCCCTGCTAAACCCTGCCAGCTCCCCTGCCTGGGGCTCCCAGTCTGCCCAAATCACATAAGCTTGCAGATATCTCCACTTGTGACCTACTTTCCTTTTCATTTTCCAGCATTTCTGCTCCATGCTGGGATTCTCCACGCAACAACTAACCCAAACTAGAAATAAACAGAGGTGAAGCACTTCAAAAGCAGATAGAAATGCTAGCCAGCAAGATAGAAATGTTTTGCCAGCAAGACTGGTAGTGTCCTTCACATTTTGCTGAAGATCTTGCTACATGGTCTTTTGCAACTCTTCATTTGCTTTTTATATGTTAATAAGAATAACTTTATATAGAGAAAATTTTATACTTAAAAAGCAACCTCATGCTATCTTTTCCCTTACACAAGAAAAAAGATGAATGAATGAAGATACAAACACAACTTACAACATGACGAAGTGCAAGCAGGTAACCCTCCAGCAGACCTGAAAGCCAAGCCCACAAGCTATGAAAACATGAACTTCCTGTGTGTCCAGCCCTCCCCTCTCAGTTGCACCCTGGGAAGGCTGTCAGAGCCCAGCATGTGTCACTTCCCTGGAACAGTTCTGTCCTTGGGCTGCCCAGTCACCCCCGTCAGGAGCTGAGGGCATCAGCCTTGTGCTTGCTAGGCTGGGTGAGGCTGCTCAACCCTTGCTCTGCATGGCAAAGGTGCCCCGAGTGCAGCATCACCTTCAAAAGCGAGCCACAGCTGGCCTGTGAGAGCTCCCTGTGAACTGCCCACAGCACATCTGGACCTCGCTGTCTCCCTCGCAGCCTCTCTGTGGGACCACGGGTGTCTCTCTGCCCCAGACCCTTAAGGAAGTGGGGCTGAGTAACATTAACATTTCCTTCTGGTTGTTGCGACAGACACATGCACATCTGCCAAGCATAGCCCAGGGCTTTGGCAGATACAGCTGCAAAATCAGTGTCACTGTGACCCAGCAGAGTTTATCCCTGCTTCTGGGCTCCTGTCATTGTTCTTACCTACAGCCAATTCCTCTCAGCCTTCCATTGGCTGGGATATTCAGGACTTTCTCCTTTCTATAAGGAGCAGCTTCTGTTGAGAATCATTCTTGGAAAGCCAACAGCTGGCATTGCCTTGCAAAGTGACTCCCCAAATCTCAGTGCAGGTACATCATTCACTCTGCTCTCCCCAGGGTTAGTGATGGCACAGGCGAGGGGTTTGCAGCAAGCAGAGCCACGCTGAGCCACACAAACCTGTGTGTGCCAAGCACAGAGTCCTGTGAGACAGGCTCACTGAGCCCTCAGAATCTGCACCATCCTAGGTGTTTGCATTCCTGCACCTCGAAGTCTGATCCTCCTCTCTGCTCTTCCCAACACATATCAGACAAGGCTTAGGAGCTTTCCAATCTGACCTCCAGCCTTCCAGAAGCTGACAGCATTTCACAGGAGAGCTCTCAGGCATAAAGCTTAACAACATGTCAAGAAGTCTTAATGATGCAAACTTGTTAAGCCGAAAGCATTTCTTTGACTTTTTTAAAATCTCAGATTGTATTCAGTTGAACCGCCCAGAACATATTTCTTTCTAGGTGATGCAGTCACACCAGATCAGCAGTGGCTGAAACACATAAATCTCCGAGTTTCCAGAAAGGGTACACTCTGAGTGCATTCCACAGATGTAGCATTAAAATAAACAAACCAACCCAACAACAACAAAACCCCTAGAGCACACACACACACAAACCAAACTAAAACAAAAAACAACAACACCACAAATGTGATTATGAACTCACTTTCTTTCACTTCTGACCATTCTTGAAGGTCTTAGAGCCACTGAGGCCTAAGTGTTTCAGTAGACATAAGATAGGAGCTTTAGGAAGAGCATTCTGGCTTGGTAGAAAATGTTTGCGTATCTTTGCTGTCTCTAAAAACAGACAGCTCTCCACAACTAGAAACTTGAGTTCACTCTAAACCGATACCTTCTATTTTTATCCCTTTTAATTGTAATGTCATCCATGGAGCAGTTGAACCTCTGATTTTTCAACCATGGTACTATATCTGTCTGCATTTGCAGTAACTGGGAATGGAACAGGTCTTGGAGCAGACATCCTATGTATAGCCCTACAAGGTTTTTTATTCCTGCACAGGCAGCAGAGGCACCCAAGTGTGGTTTCCCAGCATATGTCAATTGGCTTGTCCTTTATAAAGAAACCATGGTCCAGCAGGTAGCTTTACTTAGTTCCTCCCAGGAATTTCAATCCTTGTTCGCTTTTCCTCTTCAGAGGAAATAGACAAAGAAGGGACTTTCCACCTTGTGTCTGTGGCTCTGTGACATGCAGCAGCTCTGTTGCAATTTCAGACTGCTCCAAGGTTTAGTGTGGGAGTCCTGATGCTACAACATGTACACACTGTGCTCACATGGGTATTGCAGTCTGGGACCAGGCTGGCAGTACATCATGCTTTTACCTAAAGGTGTGTAAAATTCCCCAAACCAAAGTGGGTGGACCCATGAAATGTAGGGGTGATTGAGCTCACCTGGTTCTGCAAGGTCTTCTGCAGGTTCGCCTCCCAGCCACCCATACTGGGTCCTGGCCCACCACTGAGGTGCTGTGGGAAGGTGTGCCAGGCAGTTCAGCTTCAGCAAAACCTGGCACGAGGAGGGACTGGCTCTTGTCTGGGATCCAGGAAGCATTTCCATATTTCACTTGAATCCATTCTACCATTTAAAGCCAGTAAATTCTCCTATAGTCTGTGATGGTTTCCACTGTGAGGATTTTCCCAGTGAGATTGTATTTCCTGTTGGACAATGTCCAGCAGCTTGTAAATTAAATTGTGGGAGGGTAGTGGGGAAACAAGCCCTGCAACCACACTGCTGTTTTCCCAGCTTAATTCAGCACAGGAACAGGAAGCAGGCATTACAAGAATACTAATTTTCAATTGCATTGAAAATAACCCAACTTTAGTTCCAAAATTTTACATATTTCAGTATATTAGATTGGATTTGTAAATGGTACTTTGTTTTTATTTTAAGTACATAAATGTTTGATACAAAGATTAAAAAATGCTCCACATTCTGCTGTTCCTCTTTCCAGCAGTCATTAGCGGAGTCTCAGCATGCTACTTCCCATCTTTTAGGAACTGATTAACAATTACATGATTGTAAATAGCTAATTGCTGTATTATCTGGACATAACATTGCCACATTAATAATGTAAACCAAAGTAATCCAATAATGGAAACCTTTCGTGTGCCATTAGTTCAAATGAGTGGTTATGGATTAAATTAGCAAGTCATGCACAACTGGCAAGTTAAAGCTTGGATGTGAAGTTGTTCATGTCTTCTTACAGCACCAGAAGATGCATTTATTCAGGAATCAGCCCAAGTCTCGTCAGTGGTCCTGTCTAATTATAGGAGGAATTGTAGTTCACTAGAGCTAGGCCAGATTCTGAGTTTTCAACTTCACTGGTGAGAAGTGGGTCTGGGAAGCTGGGGGAGGGACCAAGATCTCTCCTGTCATATTCTGGTTGATATTTAACTAATTGTTTTAAAAATGCATTTGCACAGTTTAAAATGTAATTTCAGAAAAGTAAAATTCAAAGTTGAAAGATTATTTCAAAGCTATAAAACTCATTCTGCTTATACAAAAATCCAAGCAAAACATTCTGACTTTGCTTTGTTAATACTTGAATTTCAAATATCTTCTCATTAGTTCAATCTGCTCTTTCTGGTGGATAAAATTTTATCTCCCTGCATTCTTCTTTTCAATTCATCTGCCTTATCTCTAATTAGCTCTCCCCAACCCTTCCCCACAACAAGGCTGCTATAGTGGTTCTGTTTGAAACTTGCATTTGCCTTCCATGTATTGGATTCCAAGTTTTGCAACATGCCCACTTCCTCTATTTGCTAAGCCAGGAGAACAAAGTACTGTCTCTGTACACACATACACACACCATTTTTCTCAGGACTAGGCTAGGCTGCAAAATTAGGATCTTGGTTTCAAAGACACTCTGCAGGCAAAGCAAGCTCATTTCAGAGAACTAGTTTGCTCTTCTGAAAAAAATAAAAGGGCAGGAACAGATCCCAGTTGACAAGCTTGGGAACACTTGCAGCAAGGTTTTGGCTCAGTCATCCTCAGTTGCACTGACTAAAAAGAATAAAAACATGGCCTGCTTTAGATAGGATCAAAGGTGCCAAAAATGGCGTAAGTAGATTTTTATTGTCTTCTGTGAGTTTTGATGGTTTTCTCAGTAAGTCTTGATTTCTTGTTGGACAACTTCCAGCAGTAACTGCAGTTTGTGTGTAAGATAATCTGAAAGGGTGGAAAAAAAAAGAAGGAAGCTTAGTCCAGAGGAAACCCTGAGATATGGCTGAAAATCAGAGCATCAGCACTGATGGCTGGAGCACTTTATATTGGCAGATCACTGTATCTATTTCCTTTCTTGTTATATGTTTTCTTCTATTTAGTGGTTACCGATGCACTTCCATGCAGCATCATATCAAAAGAAAACAAGACTTGGAACAGAAATGACAAACTCAAACCCAGGCCCTCATTTCTGAAAAAACCCTTGTGACACCATGCCTACATCCAAAGGAAATCTGTACTAGACACTGCCTGGAGTGGAGATGTACTTCATTTCCACAGCTACATTTGTGCCCAGACCATCCTGGCCTCTTCACCAAGCACACAGACCTCTGGCAGTCCTCTTCTCCTACCAGTCCTCTCCCCAGTCTTTCAGCAAGCAAATTTGTGCATGGGGTTGCAACATCTGCCTGTAGTCTCCCCATCCTAACTTTTTGTCTTTCTGCTCCACATTGGACAAATTTCACCCAGAGTTGGTAATCCCAAAGACATGATAAAGTTTAGTAGGTACTAGGGCTGGGGTAGGAAAGTGACCCTCTTTGTTCCCCCTGTTGGTAGACCTCAGCCTTGTCTTTGTTAAAACAAATGAGGCTGTGCCTTGGGAAAGACACCAGAGTGGTGCCAGGGGACATAATTTAGGTTTCATGAGGTCTGTTGGTCAAGGAGCAATTTGCATCAGAGATGAGCCCTGGGAACAAACCAGCATCCTGACCCTTGAGGGTGTTTAGATCCACAGTACTGAAAGTGAAATGCATACTTACAAAACAGGTTGCGGCAGCGGTCTGACATCTGCCTGTGAATTATGAGGTAGTAGACTGGAAAACCACTCAAAACTATGGTGCATCCAATGCTAATGTTCACAGGGTCTGAATAGAAAGACATTGCCACTGTGAAGAGGCAGATGATGGTAAAAAAGACAGGAACAAACAGGGGAACCTGTGGAAAAAAGCACAGAAGAAAAAATCAGGGAAAACTATCAGGGAAAACTGGTGGCTGTAAGCCGATCAGACTCCGTATGTGCCAGCACACACTGCATTTGTTTATCCATCTAAATAAAATGAGAAGAATCATATCCTGTCCTGCAGAATGCTTCTGTACAATCAGAGCGCAAACAACTGCAACAGCTTCAGAGCCCAGTGTGCCTTGTGAGGTGCATGCCCCTTATATTCATGTGCACCAAAATCTAAACCTCACTTGAACTGGAAGCCAGGCAGGGGGAGAAGCCACCTACACCCCACAGCTCTGTGAATGTCCTGCTCCTGTGCATGCACAGGCACACACATCTACTTGCCACCTAAGGCAACTGCTGAGGGAAAATCTGAAGCCAAGAAAGAAGTGACACTTTGAATCAAACTGTTCTTTGCTTATAAAACTCATGACTCGTGTTGACCTGCCTCCAGGTCGCCTGAGACTTACTTAGAGTGACTAAACCAAGACAAACCAGACTCCTGCACCAAGAACTCCAGCTTCAGTGATACCATGAAGAAAATCAAAGCAGCACTGAGCACTTCAGCCATACCCTATTGGATGAGCCAATTCATCTGGGTTATTTGGAGAGCAAATAGGAAGACTGCAATAAATAATAAAACTGTGAAACACTCCTTCTGTCTCTGGATCCAAACTCAGCCAAATGACTCCTTGCCATGGCTGATGGAATGAAGGAGCTTCTCTCATATAGGGTGACAATCTTTACCAGTAATAAATATTGTATTTTGGATACACAACATGCCAAGTTGGAAGAGATCAGTTGCTCTAGGTATGGCAGCCATCCAGCCATCAAACAAACTTAGGTACTCTTGTCTTTCCAGCCAGAGTATCTCCTGCCAGCCGCTCATACACGCACACACTCACACTGCACATCTGCTCGAGAGGTGTGCAAGCGGACTGCTCCCTCCTCTTTCTGGTGTTTTCTGGCCGTTTTTAACTCGAAATGCTGCATGAGAATGGGTACCAGCGCTGTCACACGGACGCCAGGCTTTGTTCTCCGCCGGGCAGCGGCAGGGACCGCCCGTGTGCGGCCGCTAGAGCGCAGCACGCACCCGCGCCACCTGCAGCCCCTGCCGCTTGCACAGAATTGAGAAAAAACAGGGAAAAGGCGGGGGGAAACCAGCCGAACTGACCCAAAGGCCACTATTTCCCTCCCTCCCCCGTTTAATCGATATTTAGGAGCCGCTAGAAGTCTCAATCTTTGAAGAAAGCCAGGGCAAAAACCTCGGCATCTGAAACCATCAGCAGTGCTACCCACTAATAAATCTCCCCTGAGAAGATTGGTTTGAAAGGAAAACTAAAAACTTAATTCAGTTTGTTTCTGGGGGAGTACATGAGTGCAGCCAACTAACAAACGGGGAAGCCTTAAGGTGTCTGCTGAATGCAAAGGCAGAGAAGAAAAGTTATCCCCAACTTTGCAGGAGGATGCAAGAAGCTCATAGAGGAGCCCTGAGAGCTGCAGGAAGTGTTTCTGTCCCCAGAGCTCCTCACTGCCCAGGGCCAGCATCCCTGAAGGTCCTCTCTCTTCCCAGGAGCTGCTGCCTGGAGGCACCATGAGGGGTGACCAGAGTCAGGAACAAACTGTCTGCCTCCAGCACCACCCCAGCCTAATGCCTTCTGCACATTCCCCAGCAGTGGGAAAGGTGCCTGAGCACAGGAAAGCTGCTCCAGCACCAGCTCCAGCATCCCCTGCTGACATGAGGGGGATCCCAGCACCCAGCAGAGTGGGAAAGGCCACAAGAGGGGCCCACGACTTTACATGAGACAATATTTCTATGCCAGCAGACGATTCCTCCCAAGTCAGGTTCGCTCCCAGGACCCCTCCACCCATGTTCCTTTTCCCTCAAGCCTGACAGCTTTCTGCTTCTCAGCTAGAGCTGGGACTTACCTGCCACTGAAATAACATCCAGGCAAGAGTCCCTTCTTGTAGGCCACAAGAGATGAGCCAGAGAACTGCTCTCTCTACACTTCCCAGTTCCAAGCCTGAAACCTTGTCCCTTGTAGCAAGCAGTCTTCTAACAGATGCATCTGGTGACCCCGTGTAGAACTGGCTTTATAGGATTTTTCACATCTGGCTGTTTGGGCACATCAACCAGTTTCAGGAGCTCCCCACAGGCATTCTTAAGCATCAGGGACTGAAACCCTTTAGAGCCTAAAGGCAACCGTGGCCATGTAATGCTGTAATTATGAGCAAATCAAAGGGAGGGAAGCCAGGCCTGCAGATTCCACTCTGTGCTTTTACCTTGAAGGGGCTGTGGAGCTCCGGGTGACGGTGGCGATGGACGATGAGCCCAAGGGTGGCTAATCCTATGAAGAGCCATCGGGAAAAGCTGAAGAAGTTCAGCAGATGGTAGATGTCTCCGATGCACACCATGGCAGTGACCAAAGGGAACTGAGCATTGTGAACATGAAATACAGTCATTACAGCCACGGATCACCTCCTCCAACCCCCCTGCAACTACTTCACAGCCCCAGCATTTTGGAGGTCAGAGAGCTTTACAAAACAGTGTCACAGACTGAAGACAAAATACCTAAAATATTATCCATACTACTTATCTGTAGTGCTACAGAAAAGAGTTGTTGGAAAGGATGGAAGCCCAGTGTTCCCTACACAGAGTGATCATTTCAAGATCAGCAGCATCTTTGATGCTTCATGTCCAAGCCAGGGCAATTAAAACATGCCTGATGCAAAAGCCTGCACTGCTGGTACACAGGCTATCTACAATGACATCTGCTAAGATTTTAGCAGCTCAGCCAAGCTGCAACAGGCACTGCAGCACAGATGGGATGGAGCTGGACCATTGCCATAAAAAAAAAAAACAAAAACCTGAACAAATCAAAACACGAGACCAGACCATGTCTACAAATACTCACTCCCTGCATTTCCACCACACCTGGGAATTCTAAATTTCCAGATAGCCAAAGCCTGGCAGAGCTATTTTCATAAGGCAGTGTCAAACACCACCTGTGGCAGATGGTAGGGACTGTACTTTTAAAAAAGGTGTCTAATGTTATAAGGCAGGGACTTCAAGGTTGTACATTTGGATACCACTGCTGGCTCAAGGGGACTTAAACTTTGCAGCCATTTCCTGTATCCTTCCTTCTTTATTTTTCAGGGGGTAATTTAATGTCCCAACACCCTCTAAAACTCCTCAGTTTATCCAGTCCTTGCAAGAAAGCCAAGACAGCAAAAGAACAGAGCATGTCACACATAGCCAGATTTCCTTACCATTAATATGACAGCAGGAAGGGGGGTATGCCTTCTAATGTGGATCATGGAGAAGAGAGGAGGCCACTGCCCTTCCCTGGAAGCCACAAACAGAGTCCTAGGAAAAGACAGGGAGCCCTGTACATTAGCATTCTACATCCACATTAGAAATTAGATGAGTCACTAGACTGACCCGAGGCATCAAGGCACCCACTCCCTTCCCCAGCACAAGTCTGCTGCTATTCAAGGCCATTCATTTTGCCTTTGGCTGCACTTTCACAGAAAGTTTGGTTTGGGTTGGAACCCCCTCTCCACCATGGGCAGGGACAATTTCCACTAGACCAAGTTCCTCAGAGCTCCACTTTGGGGCATTTGCAAGAAAACCAAGGCTGAGCTCCCACAGCTCTCCCAAGACCAGTTCAGTGCAGTTCAGAGCCCACCATCAGAACCACTGGCAGTGTCTCCTTGGGTGCCTCATTAGCAAAGACCTTTGGGCAAGTCCAAAGTGACCATGAATGAACTCAGACTGGAAATAGGAGTAAGAAAGTCTCTTGCCATCAAAAAAGGAATTAATCTTTCTAGTGAAAAGGAAGTGGAGGGATCACAATATTTAATTTTTTGTAAGAGAAACTGGTGAGTTTATGAAATGGGATTGTCAGCTTTGAAGCCTATATTCTTATATGTACATATACCGAAAAAATAAAGGACAATCTCCTCAAATGACAGATGGTTTCCAATCCTCTGGTCAGCTATTGGAAAATACAGTTTGACATACTGCCAAGAGACAGCTACACACAAGAACAGCTACAAAATGAGAGCAGAGAGTTCCTTGCTTGCATCCCTCCTTTGACTTGTGAAAGAGCAATTAGGGAGAAGACAATCACATCCAATTTTAGAAACTTAATATCCTCAAACAAACCATGCCAGAGCATCAGCTGGGCTGAAGCAGGGCCCCAAGCAGCTGGGGCATGAGTGTACAACTGGTTTTATTGCTGTCTCTGTGGCTTTGCAGGGGTGTGGCTGGCAGGCAGCCAGAGAGGCCCCATCAGTGTTTATATGCAGTGATTCTGCAGTGATTATGTTAATGATGTCAGGATGGGGAAGAGAAGGTCAGAAGGGGACATGAAGAACCTCTGTGCTGTCCAGAAACTTCTTATCCTCAAAGAAAACCATTATCTGGAGCAGCTAATGGGAAGGATTGTCCACACCTGTATTTAATACACGACTTCAGGGTAGCGGATCAGATAATTCATTAGCTTTCAGGCTGTGAAACATTCAGACCGATGGATCTGAATCAAAGCTGTGAAGCAAAATCCACTGCAGAGAGTTTGCTCAGCTCCACAGGACCAGCACAAGATACTTTTTCATAAAGCCTGCCCTCCTCTCCAATTTCAAGGCTCCCACAAGGGCATGGAATGTGGCAGACGGTGAAGCTGGCAAGTTTATTTTTCCATGGAACAAAGCTTTTCTTATTGCTGTAACAAGACTTCTTGAACCTTGACTATTGCTTTAGGAGTAGCCCATCCCAATGACATTTCACTGACTTCAAAGCAAAGTTCTCAAGGGAGAGTTTGCCTAGAGAGCCTCACATCAGAGGGACCCCACTCCCTCCAGCAGCACAGCTGGGTGAACCCCCTGGAAAGAGACTCAATCTCACTGAGCAGCTGCCAGCATCAACAAAGCCTTTAGTTTACCAGAAACATTGACATTCCACTTTAAACTGGGGATTTAACTGAAGGGTAGGGGAGAAGATAAAAGTCTTTGTTTGTAGCCAGTCTTGGATACCAAGGTCTGGACCTGGTCAGAAATAGAAAAAGCAGACTCTTAGCCAAAAGGGACCATCCTGTAACTGACAACCTGGGAGTCAAAAGCCTTATTTTTTCCACAAGAGTGGCTAAAATACCACTGTGTGGATGGGTAATTACACAGGTTGGTGATGCTTCCCTCTGATTCTGTGAGCCAAAAGCCTAATAGACCATTAGGGATGTGACCTTGAAAATGTGAAGATTCCTCCATTCATGGTTCCAAAGCAGGACAGTGCGACAAGGATGGGGACCACGGAGATCAGGCTTTTAAAGGCTCGCTGCACAAAGCTCTGGAGGAAGAGCAAACTTGACTTTAGGGAACATGAGGTGATCTCTAGATGACATCAGACTCCTTCTTCCATTGAAGGAGTAATATAGAAATCATAAATCTCCTATTTTCTACTGTCATCTGCAGGTTACTTTTCATTATCTTTTAGGCACAACAAGAAGAATTTACTGTTGCCCAGTAAACCAGAGAAATTCCAAAGCAATAAAGCATTTCATAGGAAAACCATCTCTGAAAGACTTGCCATAACCGCAGCATAAGCTGGCCACACTGAGGAGATAACAATAGCAATGACAACTCACCACAGCCACAGCAGGAGAAGCCATAACATCTTCTGTTCCCAGGACTGTGTAATAGGAGACGTTGGTGAGCATGTATCCCACAATTACCATGATCACAGACACGATGACAGCCAGGGGGATATTTCTGCAAGGAATGGAAACACACACACACACACAAAGAACAAGCTGCTATCCCTTGTTATGCACAGTACTACTGCAGTTTTTATCTGGTAGTACAATTGACTGCAGCCAAGTGAACCCACAAACTTATTCCTCCTGTACTGCAGGGAAAGCTGTGGGACCCCCAGGCATGGTAACCCAGGGCAGCTTCCTACCAGCCTTACCGTTCAGGTTTGACCAACTCCTCACGCACAAAGCTGGTCTGAAACCTGCACGATGGGAAGAGATGGGTGAGAGACTGAGTCGTGCTGAGGGCACCTCTCTGCTGCCCGGGAAGTGCCCTCCCATCACACCTACCAGCCGGAGTATGCGAACATGCCTGCATAGAAAGCCAGGGGGAGCTTGTCCAGAACCAGCGACTGTCTGTCAAAAGCATCCTGGAAGTTCTCGGTGTGGCCTGCAGAGGAGATAAACAACGGACACACAGCAGGGAAACGTCAGACAGGCTTCCTTCCCTGTAGGATAACATCCCTTGTACCTCTTGCCCAGACTTGGGAAGAGTGTTTGTAATTTCCTTGGAGAAGGGTATTTGAATTAACTTCATTGCTCTTGCTGATATGTTTACTTTCCTATAGTGACATTAAAAAAAAAAAAAAAAATAAAAATCTATCCCTTGTCCAGTTATGGTAGGCATTTTAAGAAGGGCAACAACAATACAACAATAACTAGTTGTTCTTGTTATTGCCCTTCTTGAAATTGTTATTGTTAGACCCTGATGTGGGAAGAGAAGATCATGGAGACGAGCTGATCCCAGCTGTCCTCTCGTTCCTTTAAGCCCAAAATTAAGTTGTTGGATTGACCCCTATGTTCGGTCCCCAGCCCCCTCAGCAGCTGGACACACACTCCCCTTTGATGTGGAGCAGCCAGTGAGGTGGCTAACTCAGCTCTTGCTGTGCTCTTTCCTGTTTCTGCTGCTGGAGCTCTGACCCCAGCCCTGTGCTGGCCAGAGCATGGGAACCAGGCTGGAGGAGGGGGTGGGAGCTGGGACCTGCCAGTCTGACCCACCACCACTCACCCAGAGGAAAGGACACAGAGTGAGAAGCAAATAACATGTTCAAAGTAGAGGTGTCTCAGATATTTACCAACTCCCCTAATTTTCCTTCAAGTTCTCTGCTTGAAACAACAAAACAAAACTTAAAAAAAAAAATCAAAGTCAGGATTTTCTAAATCAAAACAAAAAGATTTAGAGAAGGGAGCAATTCTGAATGGCCTCTCATTCAAACACAGTCAAAAAGAATTGCATTCCCAACAGTTTCAAATCCAGGTAACCCAAGGTTTGATTCTACATCTACGTTCAATTTTCCATAATAAACTCTCTTTAAGAGGTGAGAAGCTTTCCTAGTTGGGCTTTACCAGGCAAAGTGTGACATGGCATGGAGCACATAGAGAAAATCAGGGCACTTCTATGGAGGTGCTTCTGCAAGAAGTTCAGTGACGAGATTTGGGCACTTGGGTTTGTGTGGCAAGCACATTTCTCTCCCTCTCAGGATTTTTCATAGAGGTGCACAGAGAGAAATGAAAGAGAAAACAATTCTATATCTGCTCCTTGTTTTTCCCATGTGGAATGTGTTTGGAGAATTGTTTACTGGGGGGGGGGGGGGGGGGGGGGTGATTTCTTGATTGGATTCAGGTGAGGATTGTTTGAACCTAATGGCCAATCCAACCCACCTGGGGCTGGACTCTCCAGAGAGGGTCATGAGTTGTGTTAGAGAAAGTAGTATATAGTTTTAGTATCTTCCTTTTTATATAGTATATTAATGTATTTTAGCATAGTTATAATAAAGAAATAATTCAGCCTTCTGAATTGAGTCAGACATCATCATTTCTTCCCACTGGGTTTTCCTGCATTTACAATAGGTTTGAAACACTGGCCCAGCAAGTCTCTAATATAAGCCTGAGCCAAAGAGAAGGTAATGGCAGAAGTGCAATCAAAAAAAAGCAGCACAAAGCAGAGGAATCATGCAGAATTATTTAAAAGTGCAAAACTGATTTTAAGCACCAAAAAAAAAAAAAAAAAAAAAAAAAAAAAAAAAAAAAAAAAAAAAAAAAAAAAAAAAAAAAAAATTTTAAAAAAAAAAAAAAAAAAAAAAAAAAAAAAAAAAGTCAATTTGAAAATACGTTTGAAGAAAACTAACCCAAAATGTAGGAGTGGGTTTATTGGGGTACTTTTTTTATGTTCCAAAACGATGGCTAGTAAGTGATGGTGCATGAAAAGGATTTATTTCCTGCAATGCATTAATGAGCAATTTACAGTACCCTGTGAGTCACATTAAACACAGCCCATCACACTGGAGTCTCTTGGTTAATTCTCCCTCCAGATGTTACCTGCACTTCTTCTCCCCACCAGAGGACGGGTGCCAGGGCTCCAGATTGTCATTTGAAGGCAATCCTAGCAATAACGGCTCAGGATTCCTAGCTGCAGGGCAGTCCTTTATTTCAGAAGCCTGCCAGCCCAAGGGGAGCTTTGCATGTTCAAAGGAACCAGCTCCAGACATCAGAAAGAAACATGAACATGGAGCCCATTGCCTGTGGTGTTTTCTCTGCAGAAGAAGGTAATAGCATGAAGAAGGAACAGGCTTCATCCCTTGGGTGGGAATGCCTTGGTCTTTTCTATAAACTGAGGCTTGGATTAAAGCCAGTCCTCTTGTATCATTCACAGAAAATTCTACTTGTAGCGTTTTTCTCCCCCACTCTGCCTATGGGCATGAAATCCTGTACCAAGTTCATTGTAAATTCACTAAATTACCACCCATCTCTGGATGTAAAACACATTAGCTTGTGCCACAGAAATGTTAGAGATGCCATTACCAGAGCTCAGATGAGGGCTGGTAGCTCATTACACAGCTGTGACTGGCACAGGGGATGCTGTCACATATCCTAAATGTCCATCGAATATATGCTGCTTTGGAAAGATTTTGAGCTACACTGGAAATAGCTAAGTCTGACTCCAAAGAAAGACCATCTGCATAGGCAGGTCAGGGTGACCCTGGGTAGACTCATACATCCTCTGGCACTAAAATGACTAAACTCTGGAAAAAGCACCACCCAGCCAGGTGCATCAGCCCAGTGCAATGATGCAGCTTTGTGCCAGCTACACCGGGCTCAGCTTCCAGCTAATTCACATCTGGCACATGGACAGAGAAAGCTCCTGCCAGCTGAGTGAGCACCACACTTGTCACTAAGAAAAGCCATTACAAGGGTTCACAATCAGCACCCTCCACGCAGCAACACCTACCCTGGGCCAGCAGCATCATCCCTGGCACGATGATGAGTGCAAGAGCCAGGAGTTTGACAACGGAGAGAACTGTCTGCAGTCGCGCACTCCAGGTGACACTCCAGGAATTGAGGGTGAGGACCGTGTCTGGAGAGGAAACCACACTGCCACAGCTGCAGCCTGGGCTCAACACACACAGGAAAAAATACAGCAGCTCTCCCTGCCCTAGGGGTGCTGGGGGAAGGTGGCATCTTTATGCCTTAGAGAGGATGCCTGGGATGAGAGATGTCAGGAAACGTTGGTCCAGCATACAGTGTTTAAAGAGGGAGCTCACTTACACTCCTAAAAGGGAGTAGGAACCTGGCTCCTGCTGGGTGATCCACACCTGCCTGGGGGAAAGGCGTGGGACATCTCAGCAGCCCACTTCACAGCATTCCCTGTGCCAGACCACATCAGTCTGGAGCAGGCAGGGCAGTTTCACGGGCTGGATACACCAGAAGAGGAGTCCAAGACCTCAAGCCTTACACCCACAACTCATGTGGCTTTTGTACAATTACACATGGAGAGTTTCTTGTCCCACACCTAGCTAAATCCCCCTACCTAGGGCTCCAGCTGGTCTACAGGGTGGCCCGTTCCACTTCCTAGAGAGTACAATGGCCCAAAACCATCACCTTGAATTGGACAATTTTGGTTGGCTGAGGAGGTAAGACAAGACCCTTATCCCACAGTTGTCCCAGGCAATAACACCCCATAACTCCTAGTCTAGGGCAGAGAGGCCAGGATGGACAATCCCATAAATGTTAGTACTTACAGTAGCCCAGGAGAGAAACGAGCTTCACTGCAGGGACAGGGGCAGCACAGGGGGCGAAAAAGGGCTCCAGCATGTAGCGTCCAAATGCCAGGGAAATCACAGCACTGTTGGCAGGCCTGGAGTGGGAAGTGTGGGGGGAACCAAGAACAAACTCCTCTGAGGATGGCTGGAAAATGATATGAGGTAAAACTGCACAACACTTGGCAAGGGGAGCAAGTTTCCCCACCTGGCTTAATCCTCTCACCCATGCAGATGGTGAATTCCCATGGAGTTTTGCTCATAGGTTTTTCTCAGTAAATGGGTTAAAAACCACATGCTGCAGAATGATTAATTTCCAACTTGAAAGCAAAAGTTGAGATTAATCATACTGACCAATACAAGTGTAGTTCATGTGTTCTGCTTCATCTAAGCTTACACGAAGGATACAGGTTATTGAGAGGTGAGGACTTCCTTTTTAATGTTAAAAAAAGAAGTCGTTCACAATTTTATAAATTACTGAACTTGGGGCTAAGACAGGAAGTTGTCTCCACTTTCTGAATCTGAAAAAACCAAAGAAGTTTCACACTGAAAACAGAAGATCTGAAATAAATCTGGCATCTATTGTCAGTCTCCAAAATATACCACAGCTCTTGGGGGATACGAGCTGCCAGGGGAGAAGAGAGATATTCTTCAAGTACAGAACATATTCAACATTTATAACTATCTCCACATTGTGTCTTCTTCCTTTTATCACTAAAAAATCTTTTAAAATCATTCAGCTTGTTTCTACTCTTTCCTTTACAAACTGCCTGGACCTGGCGCCATAACTTTTGGTGTTTTAAATTATCACTGCATCCAGGAAGGGGCAAGCAAACCAAATCTCTTACCTGATAGCAAAAAATTCTGCCCACAGGAATAAGAAGCTTGGCAGAGGCCCTAGTGTCTCCAAAATGTAGATATAATGTCCACCAGACTTGGTGATTCTTGTTCCAAGTTCTGCATAACACAAGGCACCTGGAAAAGTTCAAGTAAAAATGTACCAAGTAAATAATCCCAGGGATTTTCCCTTTTCTGTGTGATTTTTAAAAACAAATATGTTTAAAATAAGTAGTGAATGAGAGGAAGAAAAAGAGGTTTAACAGAACCACTCTTCCCTATTTCTGTGCACTACCATGGTTTGAAGTAAATTTTCAAGTAATTGGCTTACCTGTCAGGTGGAAAGCAATTCTCTATTTTGTGGTTAATGTTACAACATTTCTGTGGAAGCTCTGAAGAGGGGCGTGTGATAGATATGCTGTACAGAGCTACAAGAGGTTTCCTTTGAAAGATACCCTGGATTCTTGCTTCTCCTCACTCTTAGACTGGTGAAATGGTGTTTACAAAGCAGCTACAACAGCTCAGCCACAAGCTGTGGCTGAACTGGTCATTTCAATCATGTTTTTCATCCCAGGCCACATTCTTGTGTCCTTTTCTTGCATCTTCACATAAATCCCTTCCCTCCTTTGAATCCAGTGGTGACATGGCCATGCCTCCAAGTCCCATGGCAATTGTGCCACATTCAGGTCATGCAGGATGGTGACCCACCTCAATGTTTTCCTGCCTCCCTGTTGGAAAATTTGTGCACAATTCCTGTTCAAAGCATCACATATTGGCAGAGAGCTCACAAGATTCCAGTGGGTCCTTTAAATGCTTCAAGCATGCATGTAAGTATGTTCCTGAGCTCATGGAATGGAACTTGTATATATGCCCCACTTGAAAGGAAAAAAAACATAAAAGAAACCAGACCTTTTAAATATACTGCCAAAAACTGTCAAAGAAATGATCAGGGGAGGTCATCAAGCTGGTAAAAGGGAAGAACAAACCAACAAATCCAGCTACAAAATGCAATCACTTGATAAAGAGGCTCCCAAGGCATTTCCAGGAGACTGTATCAAAGGATGCTGTACAGGGAGAAACCTTTGCAAGTGCAGAGCTTGGCTATGTGATTACACATACATTACACACACATTCTCATTTACTGCTCTGCTTGGTTATAAGAAACACCATGCCCACCTTATACTGCCAGCTTTTCTTTAAGCAGAAGTGTATAATTCACCAAACAGCCATACAGAGGTTGCAGTGTGAAATATGGGTATGCATATGCTAAGAGCAAGACCAACTTGTTGCCCTATTAACAATGGAATAGCTCGATTTCTAAACTTGCGTATACATGCCATAGTGTCAAAATGATTTTTTTTTCACATGGAGAATTTCTCTTTCTTGCTTGTTTGTGGTTTTTTCCCTTTTTAATTTTTTTTTGTTGTTGTTTTTTTGGGGGGGGTTTTTTTGGTGGATTTTTTTTAGTAAGTTACAACAGAAGACGAATGTTAAACTCACCACTATAATAAGCATCAGATTTCTCTCCTGGGCTGGGAGAACTTGCAGCCATCCTAATAGCACCTTTAAAGAGTTTCTGAGATGGTGATTTTTTACAGATAATGAAAGAAACCAAAAGCCATGTATTATTTTATCCACTGTAACTTACAAGAGCTAGAATGAAACTGTCATCAAAAAGACAACCTTTGTGAGAAAAGACTGGCACCAAATGACAGAAATCAAGCCAATAGTAACACACAGAAAGTGGGGCAACATCAGACATCCCCACACCATTTCTTACAGACACCCAACACCCACCCTGGGCTGGTGCAGCCCCTGCAGCTTCCCAGGCATTCTGTTCCAGCCATTCTCTCTGATAAAAAGGGGGGTCCATGGGGGATATTGGCACTCTCCCTCCTACTTTCTTCACAGTGTCTGTAAAAAGCACACCACAGCCCTCGATTCCCTTTTAGGTTTCTACATCTCTCTTCTCCTTTACAGAAGGTGTCCCCTCATTCTCTCCCAGCTTTCCTGGCAGAGACCATGCTGTCTCCATTCTCAGACACTGTCACTCCCCTGCCCTGGACTTGTACATGAATTGATATTCACAGACCATAAGTTCTGGAAGTTTGTTCATTACCCCAGGGAAATAATTTGAACTAAAAACTCCTAGTAACCATTTCCTGCAGCAGAAATTTGGGGGTTATTCATCTCTCAACTTTCTTAACATAAAAATGTGCAGGGGCTCCCCTCACCTCCCAGCTGCTTAAGCAAAGGCTGCCAAAGCTCAGCACTCACCAAACATGGAAAGGAGCCCACAGGAAAACCAGACGAGCAGGGAGAATCCCACGCTGCCGGAGTTTTTCAGGACTCCTTTGGGAGAAATGAAGATGCCACTGCCAACCATGCTGCCGATGAGCAGTGAGAAAGCCCGTAACAAAGTTATCTTTTTCCTCAGGAAGATGGCCTTTTCTTTCTTGTCTTTTCCCATGGCTTTCTTCTAATCACAGGGGAAGGTCCCACATTCAGGAGCTACAGTCTCCTTAAGGCTCACCTGTAAGACAAGGAGTTAGGGATTCAAGGATCTTCTTTTTGGTACAAAATTTTTTTCAGGAACTGGACAAGAGCTGTAGAATCTGTTCTCTCCAGCTGCAGGAAGTACCAGGCAAACCACAGGTGAGTAAAACACCTTTGGTATCATCTCTCTCATCAGTACAGCTCTCAAGAGACACTTCAAGTGTTTTCTGCTTCTTCTTCCAGGCAGCACAGAGTGTTACATGTTGCATGCCAGCCACACCTCAGGACAACTCTCAAATTTGACTTTGAGTAATGTCAGATTGCCCAGACTGTAACTGGCCAGCTTGGGGTTAATTTAATGGGATCTAATAGGGGGATACACTGATTTCAGCTCACTGGCAGGAAAGAGATTTAAAGTTGCAAACCTAACAATTAATACCTTGAGAATCTGAGATGAGAAGAACATTAAGCTGCATTAGTTGGTGCACAGAGAGGATTTAAGCTTTTTAAACTTCCTATCCACTCTTGCTGAATGAACTAGCCCAGATTTTCTCACTAGAAACACTTAGTCAGTGTTTCTTAATATAGTGTCAAGCTTTTTTGCTTTCAAAGTACTGAAGAGTCAGGAATAAGTACTGTTTGCAGTTGTTAAGACAGAGCTTAGTCATGACTAACAGATGTGCCATTTCTACTATTAATATATATTATAGAAATTCTTTGGTAATGGCAACAATGAAGTTTTTCCTAGAAAATGAGGAACTTCAGACACTTCAGGGATCCTAAATTAATACAGATTTAATTCTCACAAACTGCAGCAACCTCCCATTTCCCCTCCTAGTCTCTCCTGTCTATCACCCCTAAATTGGCAACTTCACCAAGAAACTCACCTTCTGCTTAGGTAGGTGAGATGAATTCAGGCCAGTTACTATAGCCTAATTTGCTGTAGCAAACCTGTTTGTAGTTTCCTTAATAGCAAGGTAGATGTTTTACACTAGTAATTATTCCTGGAAGAGCAGGCAGGACAAGTCTGGAGTAGATAATTTGGCTCTTGTCCAGCCTCCTGCCACACATCCCCAACAATGCTCACACACTCAGCTTCAGTGATTTTCTTTTCATTATTCTAACACAGTAAATTGCATTATGGTGAATATTTGCCCCAGCCCCATGGCTGTATATTATTGCAAAGTTACACTTTACATGAGTCCCTATTTTATGGGTTTCTTGAATCATTTAGTAATTGCAGTGGTGTGTCCACCAGGAGACAGTGGTCACCTCTAGAAGCAGACCAAAGCAGCCAGAAATTACTCTCTTGGTAGAGAGATAAAAATGTTCCCCTAACTTTAAAGGGGCAATTATTGTTACTACTCACCCAAGATACTCCCTGTATGCCCTGGGTAAACTCAGTGTAACCAAAGTATTTTCTCCCCCATCCCCAGCTCTTTTCCCACTTGGAAACAGGCAGGAGGAAGCAGGGTTATCACTTTCTCTGCACACATATAAGAAGCACATGCAGAAAGTCCTTTTTCCTGCAAGCAGCATGAGTTGGTTTCTCTGAGATTGTGCCAAGCCTGCACAAGCATCTTCTCAATCAAACTAGCCAAGTTTAGTTATTAAACTCTAATGAGTCCCATAGGACTCTTTAAGGCTGAGATGGGTCATATCAGCCTCATCTGGTCCCACAGAGCTGCTTCTCAAGGTCCCAAAACCTCACAGGGCTGCTGGGGATGGTGGCTCTGGAAGAGCAGGGATAGACCCCTGGGAGCCTCCCAACCTCTCAGCTGCAGTTCCCTCAGACACCAATTAATAACCTTAATGTGAAATACCAATATGGTCTGGTATTTCTCAGCTGAAGGGAGACCCACACAGCATTCATTTGCAGGGGTGAAACACAGAGCCTCACAAACTGAACTGAAGAGAGATGCTGTGCAGAGCTATGTCTAAAGCACAGTTTGGAGAGAATTAAAAGTGCACTTATCTGTTTGGCTGGGTTTTAAACAAAGCAGGTGCATTTACAATCCATCAGACTCCCATTTCTTGCTGGGATCCTGAAGCCATAGAAGACAGCGTCTCTTTGCAGGTTCTGAAAATACACAGAGAGAGCAGGGGAGGAACAAAAAAAAGGAGAGATCAAATCGAATTTACAGACCAGGTTAATGATCCAAAGTAAACACCAAACTCTGTACTTCTGTCCCCATGCCTTTTTTTATTTTTATTTTTTATTTTAAAACTACTGCCATGCAAAAGTATGTGGGGATAAAACAATCCAGCCCAGTAAATTTGAGAAACATGAAAGTACTTGTTCCACAAGTGGTTGAAGGAGGAGGAAAAATGTGGAAAAGGGGAAAATAATATAAAGAGTAACAGAAAGCTATTGAACAGAACTTCAGAGTCACCTTGCAGAGCCCACAGCCCAGAGAGACCATTCCTGCCTGCTCTGCTTTCCAGCTGCATTCCAGCACCAGGCACATTAAAATTCAGGGATGTTAATCCTTGTGGCAATACTTAAGAATATTCACAATGTGCTTAGCTTAGTGCAAAGGAAGGAGGCAAAGCTGCTTTTTATTCACCCCTCTGACTTAAATGACAGGCTCAGATCCTTCTTGTCCCAAAGTACAGTACCTTTACAAGAGAGAGATCATCAGTCAGCAGGGCTGGAGAAAAACACTACTCAAACCTATTGCACAACTTATCGCATATATTGGCTCTTTCCTTCCTCGTTCTTCATTTACACTCATTTTATTGTTGGTTTGGGGATTTTTAGCTGTTAATCTTACCTCACAAGGACTGGAGCTTCGACGAAGAGGGAGGAGACAGGCGAAAAGAGAGAATCGTGTCTGTAGTGGTGACTAGAAGCCCCAGCCAAGAGCAGGACCCACTGTGCTCAGCACAGAGCCAGAGTGGATATTACTCTGATGAAAAGCTAGTGACATAAACAAGCAAGCTGGAAAAGGAGAGGAGGGAGACAGCATCATTCTCAGCTGGAAGCTGAGACCTGGAACAACGAGTGACCTTTCTCTTCCTATCACGCAGGGAGCAGGTGGCATCCCTGGGAAAACAGACTATACCTCCAGAGTCCCAGTTCAATGACCTACCCCCTAAAAAACACCCCAGATACTAGGGAATATTCCTAAATATTTACAGGTGTATTTTCGTTGCGTCCTCAATCAATATCACACAGCCAAGAACAGGTTAACCCCTTCCTTTTTGTACTGTAAAAGAGGCAGGTGTCAAACCATTCCTTGCAGTCTCACTATTTTTTCTTTTTTGGTGCCAAAAATGTCACTCCAATTCAATGTCTACCACAAGGCACAGAATCTAACTAAATAAAATCAGCAGTGAATGGGAGCTTTTTTATTCATGCATGAAACTAACATAAATAAGCTTTAATGAGGCTGGTGGTGGTCTGTTCTGGGAACTCAATCAGAAAATCTGTTTAGGAGACCTGAGAGATGTTTCTTTATAGACCAAAATGAACACAAGAAACAGGCTGAAGGGACAAGACATGCAGCTCAACTTCTTTTCAGCGTTCTACAGCTGGTTTGCCACCCTGGATAAGAAACCAAAAGGGACAGTAGTTAATAAACCAGGCTCAGGCTTGCAGCCCCAGATGTAGTAATAAATCCACACAATTGCCCTAGGTGTAAATGTAAAAATAATTTCCATTGGCTTCTCTTTCTACAGAGTTTGACAAATATCATCTTGTGAACTGTCTATCAAAAGACTACTATTTCCTAACATTTCTGTCTGAATGAAAATTTTTTTGCTTCGACAGCAAAATTGCTCTTGGCTTAGGTCACAGCACTTCCATCATCTCATTTAGACATTTCCTGTTGTCCTTCCAACAGGGGTAATTTTTCTGGAAAACAGACTGATGGTATGGTGAGTCTGGACCTCTTGATGATATGAGGATGACCTTTTAATTGAGAACTTAGAAGTGTTGAATCCAAACTCTGGCTAAAAATTGGGCTAAACCAAGACCAAAGTTTTCAAGCAGCTAAATTCCTGTTGGCTTGAGAGTTCCTTCCTACCAGGGTTTATATTATACACCAAGTTTAAAGTTCTTCATTATGACCAGTCTGCCAAAGCAGACATTACAATTGGAGATGTTTTATTACTGTAGTGATGACTGATTTTCAGGATGCACGGATCATACAGTTTCACCTCACTTTTCTAGGCATCCGATTGTAACTCTCCACTCAGCTGCCACAAGGATCTTGCACTTTTGTGTATCCAGAACTGATTTCCCAATAATGTTGTTGTGCAGGAACATTTCAGACAACATTTTCATGTTGTATGAAAACATGTTGTTTTCACACAACATACACATGTATGAAAATGTGTAGTTTCATACACATTTCACGAGTATGAAAAATGAGTATAATTTTTTATGCTCATGAAAATAATATTTTTTCATGACTATGACAAAATACTTTTTCATTAAAAGTATTTTCATGAAAAAATACTTTTCATGAAAGTATTTTTTCGTACTCATGAAAAAATACTTTCATGAAGAGTATTTTTTCTTCACGTTACCAGTGACATGCAAAACACAAATCTGGAGAGATGCACACCTGATTAAAAAAGACTCCACAGCACCAACTGTTAAAGACTGTCAGGAAAGTGCACCACCACCCCTGTAAGATGAATTAACATGATTCCTTTTTCTCACAAGCAGGAGCAGAGAATACCCAAGGCACTTGCCCATCAGATCCAAAGGAGCCAGCCCACCAGGCACTGGAGCACATGAATCCTAGGAAAACAAAGAAACAAAACACTTAACAAGAGTCTGTCTCACATAGCTGTGTTTCCTGAGGCAAACACCTTGGCTCTGCATTATCTCTAGTGGGGCACAGTGCAGGGAAATGTCCTGAGAGCTTTGTTCTTTTGCGGACAGTCCTCCAAGTAGCAAGCTGTTTTCACTCTCCAGATCAGACCTCCTCCCTGGAACAAGACAATTTGTCCTATTCAAAACTGTTTTCTTAGCTGCGTATTACAGAACACAAACAAAAATAAATCTAAACATTTCTAGCAGAAGACACCCAACAGAGAAGTCTAATGTTGTAGCAAAGTACAGCCAAACTTTCCCCAAATGACAATTCTTCTCAAGCACTTCAAATTTAGAAAAAATTCCATAGAGAGAAACATCCCTCCTCATTCCAGTGGTTTGTGGCACTGCATCAGTGCTGAGGTCTCAGGGGTTGTCTGCCTCTGATCTGAAGCTGGGCAGTGCCAATGCTCAACAACTCTCACTCCTGCAGGGGAAATTCCTCCATGAACCTTTGTTTCACCTCAGGCCTTGGCTGAGGGCTATAAAGGACACTGCTTCCCAGCCACTGCTTGGTGACTTAGAAGAAAACAAGTTTGAGTGTCTCAGGCTGCTCCATGGGAGTTGTTACTCATCCCTGGGGCTGCTGCTCTGCAGGGCTGCCATGGTGGGGTTTTCATCAAGGCCAGCATTCCCATCATCCAGAGCCAGGCAGAGCTTTAGGGCTGCAGACTAATCCCTAAGCCTCTCCATAAACATTCTGCAAGAAGAAGACACATTTCCTGAATGGGGGAAAATGCCAAAATGGCCATGCTCATCACCAGCTTTCCTCACACAGAGGTAATTTCTCACTAATACCAGCTATTGTATCCTGCTGCAGAGACAAGTCTCTCCTGGTAAAAGTGCTGGAGTCAGAAGAAACCCTCTGCTGCTTTTGCTGCTGTCAGATGGTGGGCCCCATCGATGGGGGCTCCTGATCTACCCTGCCCTAACCACCCTAACCATCTGGAATGGAATCCTTTGAGAGCTGACTGAAGTAATACAATTCCTCTTTCCATATTGCTTCATATATTACATTAGTTTCCCCCTCAGTCTCCCTGCAGTGCTGATGATTTATCGCCTCAGGCCTCCAGTTCCCCTCAGACTCGACCTCAGCGCCTGGGTTTGCTCCTTCTCTTCCCACCTTCAAGGAATTAAAAAGAAAATTTAAACATTAAAAAACAACAACTCTTTACAGCTGCATTAGTCACTCACTTTGATTGCTACTCATGGTCTAAGCCACAGTAAAACAGTTTTATGCAGAATCACCCACTCTGGCACCTGACTCACACAGAGCCCAAGCTCTGCCATGAACATAACTCAGGGTGGGGGGAATCTCTCCTTTTGGCCTTTCTGCTCAGCTGTTACTCATTTAATAAAACATAAGCCAAATATACAATTATGCTGGAAGGGACATGTTTCCTTGTTAGGCCTTCTTGGCTCTTATGCAGCAATTTGCAGGCAATGGGGATTTCTATTTTACTGCACAAAATTTTGGAATAATTCCTTACCATTTTCTAGGCCTGTGATGGAAGGAGGGGGAACAAGAAGGGTTTTCTCTGACCTCTACCTCACCCCCCATGAGACAGCACAGGAACACACCTTCTGCTCTGTCCTGGGCAACAGGGAGCAGTGATTTGTAAAGACAGTGTGTGTCTTGTTATATAATATGGCACCATATAACCTCAGGCAGCTTCCCAGAGCCAGAAGGATGACACCAGAAACTAACCAAACACCTAACTCATGTTTTATCAGGTAACATACAAGCCATCCCCGTTTTCACTTGTATTTAGTGAGAATCAGATTCTAGGAACAAGCATGCCAACAAAAGCAGATCAATGTGCTCACGGGGAAAGTTAAGTCAACACAAGGGCATGTTTATTCATTTTTAATGTAAGTACAGTCATGGAAGTGTCTGCTGGGAAGGATCTCTGGGTGCCTCTGGCCCCATCTCCCATAAGAAGCAGGATTGTTGCCAACACCAGCTCAGCTCATGTCTTGTTTTGTCTAATCAAGCCTTAAACTCCCTCCAGAGTCCCTCACCTCTCTTGGTAACCTGTTCTAGTGCTGCACCATCACCCTGTAGAGAAACTTCTCCCAAAGGCCACTCAGGGCATCCCTGCTTGTGGCTGTCACCCACAGCCATCTGTCCGTCCAGTGGCCTCCAGGAGGTCACCTCACAGATCAGATCATAGCGGCCTTTGGTGATGGTCCTTGCCACCCCTCCCTCTCCAGCAGCCAGGGCTCCACCAGCCCCAAGGGATTCACTTCTCTTTGGGTTTCCCTGAAGTCTGTGGACTCAACACTGCTGCAGGTTGTGATTGCTTAAGTTCAGAGAGCTACAAGAAATGAAAGGCACCAATTGGATGTTCCCCCCCAGTCTGGAGGCTCCAGCATGTCTCTGATGTCCCCTGAGCCCCCCACTGAAATGACCTCCAGCCTTAGAAACTCTATTTCTAGTGCTTTTTTTTCCTCTCTCTCTCACTCCTTTTTCCACCCTGGACTTTGAACCTTCCTATGATCTTGTTGGTGTGATTGCACCATTCGTGGCAGGTAAGGTCAGCATGAATAAAAGGAAGCACAAACAGCACTTCACACAGCACAGCAGCAGCTGGGAGAGCCTGCAGCCAGCAGAGGTGAGGGACCCAGTCAGGTCCAATAAAGACCTGCATCAGCGCAGGGGCAGGAACTGCAGCCATGATTATTCATGCTGAAACAGAGGTCACCACCTCTCCTGCTTCAGAGGCAGATCCAAGCCCTGCAGGGTGTCTCAGGAGATTTCCTTTGTGCACAGCACTGAGCCAGGGCAGCCCAGCAAGGCTTTGCTACAGGCTGCACAAAGGAAGAAATACCATGTGTTTTCTTTCCCTTGTCACTGTAGCTCAGCACAGATGCAGAATATGCATGGAGAGAGGAAGGGAAGACTATATCTATGATATATCTGTTCTAGCTTTGTCTTGAAGAGGAGATATTCAAAAACACCTTAAGAAAAAAATGCTTAGCTAAAAAGTATTTCTGTATTGATTTTGGACATCAGGTACTTCTTAAATAGTGGGAAAGATTCCACACAGTTCTTTTCCCGAGCAGTGATAGAAAAGACAAAAATAATTCCCTCACCTGCTTTAGGCACAGAAAGTAGCAAGATGGGAAAAG